TCACACACCACACACGCACACACATCCACTCTCTCCTCCCCACACACAAACACACACACACACACACACAACACACACACACCACACCACACAAACACACAACCACACACACACTCGCACACACACACACACACACACACACACAACACACACACACACACTCACACACACACACTCACACACACACACACCACCACACACACACCACACACACACCACACACACACACACACACACACACACACACAGCCATCACACCACACACACACACACACACCACACACATCAACAAGCCACTCACACACACACACACACACACACACACACACACACACACACACACACACACACCACCACACACACACACCACTCTCTAATTATCGATAGCTTTCGTTCCGTATCTCCCCCTCTCGCCCCATCCCCTTCTTATATCGTTAGCTCTCCCTTCCTTTTCTATTATCTTCCTCTTCCACTCTCGCGCGCGCTCAGTTTTTGCGTTGATGTTGTGTAGTGAAAGAGTGTCTGACATGAAGATATGTATATAGTATGTTGTATGTTGGTATTCAAGTTTTCTAATCTCACGTATAAGCCTATAGTAGATATAGATGCTTTATATAGAAAAGACATCACGGGCGGAACCTTAAGGAAGAGATGCCTGGCGCCGCTCGCACAGCAAGCCTGGTTAGCCCAAATATATATGTATATATATATATATAGCCACTCATACCATAGAGCCGGAATCTCGCGTTGGCCCAGACTTCTTTACATGGAAAGCAGTAGTCATGCCTGACGTCTGCCTGCTGCGAAAGTATCAATATAAGCTACACGGCGCACGGCTTTCTCTAAGTACGATCGCGCCCGCATGTTTGCTTGCCTGGTCAGGGTAACGTTAACGTCCTTTTAGTGCTACATGATAGCAATTCTAACCGTCATTCGTGGCTTACGCGTAAATGTTATGTAATTTCAAATGGCAAAAGTAAGAACTGCGTTTCTGCGCGACCGCTGTCAATACAACCACTCAACAATTTCCCTATACAGCTTCATTCTTAATTAATTTCATACGAATAAGAAATCTCAAAGAGTTTATATCCGCTCCGTCTCCCACGACAGTATTATCATTTTTTCTTCCCCATCTACAACCTGTCATCACACTACCCCATGCTCATTCATTTCTATCCTCCCACACGACATCCCCCAACCCTACTCCCACAAATAAAACCGCGATCACTTCCCAATTCCCCAACATCTTACCGTGCGCTCCAGTGACAGTCTGTGTCTATGCAGCTTGTTTACTGCATAGGTTAACAACGTTGACAGACAACCGTACGTCACCGCCCGTTCCCGGGTCTGAAACAAGGCGCTAGTTCAAACACTATAACACCGGGACGGACGGACGGGTGGCAATCCGACGCATGATTCCCTCGTGTACACAGATTTTTAGTCAAAATTAATTTGCCAGATAATAATTACCTCTTAAAAAAGAGTTCATGTTTACCGGCGGAATTATCGACTGCAGCCCCACGGTCTGCAGCCAACACTTTCTTCAACCACACTGCTGTCTTCAGTCTGCAGGCCCATTGGGTCGGCGTGGAGCAGGCCTTAAGGAAGTATGCGACATCGAGTATACTATCTACATGCCCAGTATACGTTGATAGTAAACCTCACGGAATG